ACCCACTTGCTTTTATTATTTAAATAAAGATTTTTATGAAAATATGATTAAATTGTGAATATTTAGGGTTTATTATGTTAAAATATGATTTTAGGTGAAAATCCCGTGTTAAAATAATTAAAAACGGGCCTTAAACGCAAAACTATGCGAAAACCGGGAGAAAATGGGTTCCCAGCGAGACCTCTCGGTCCTAGGCCGAGGTTCGGTCCCTAGGCCGAGGTTCGATCCATGCTGAGGACGGTAGCCGGAAACGAAGCGAAATAGGGGGAAACGAAGGGGGGCGAGGAGGCGAGAGGGTGCGAGGAAGCGAGAGGTTCGGTCATGGGCATCAGAACCGAAATAACCCAAATGAACAGTACCTTCGGGTTCGGTTCCAGGAGCCTTCGGGTTCGGGTGTTTCTGCGAGGTTCGGGCCTGCAAGGATCTTTCGGGTTCGGTTCCTCCTGGGCGAGGTTCGGCCCTGAGAGGACCTTCGGCTCAGGAGGGTTCGGGTCCTCCTTGCTCTCGGTCCCTAAGAGGACCTTCGGGTCCTAAGAGACTTCGCCTCTTATAAGAGGGTTTCGGTTCCTAAGGTCCATTTTTCTCGTTTTTACCCCGTTTTAAGCCGTTTTTGACCCGGTTAAGGGTCGGAATGACCCGAATGATTCTAAAAAGTTACGGGAAACTTTTGAGAGAGATTTGGGAGAGATTTCACATACTTGGAGAGATTTGACATTCTTGGAGAGATTTCTCATACAAAGAGATATTTGAGAGAGGTTTCACATACTTGGAGAGATTTGGGAGAGATTTGACATTCTTGGAGAGATTTCTCATACAGAGAGATATTTGAGAGAGATTTCACATACTTGGAGAGATTTGGGAGAGATTTCACATACTTAGAGAGATTTCTCATACAAAGAGAGTTTTGGGAGAAGTTTCACATAATTAGAGAGATTTGGGAGAGATTTCACATACTTAGAGAGATTTCTCATACAAAGAGAGTTTTGGGAGAGATTTCACATACTTAGAGAGATTTCAAATAGAGAGAGATAGAGTGAAAACAATTGAGAAAGGTTTCGAGTGTGGCATTTGTGAGTGTCCGGCTTCGCAATGCAAGGTCCGTAAACACTGTTAAGCCTTGTTTAAGGATCTTACACACTCCCGATGAGTATGCAACATTGTTTTATCGGTTTGGCTAGCCACGTACCACAGTTTTAGGTTAAGGAGATCTAGATGTTCGCACTTTTTGATTTATGATCTCTCATTAGAATAGAGAGTGGTGTAGAAATTTCATAATGTAAATTCTAGTACCCAAGGGAAAATTGAGTCAAACGGTTTGACTTGTTGACTTTAGTTGACTTTGAGTTGACCGAAATTTGACAGTTGTCACATCTAATTATAGTAATGTTATTAGGAACTTATAATAAGTACTTGGACTATTATTATGGGTTATATAAGTATTGTTTAACGCTTATATAATAGTAATAATAGCTAGACTATCAATTAGTCTTGGTGAATAATAGATTAAAATCTAGTGGTAATAATACTAGGTTTCGTTGAAGGACATTATTTTTAAGAAGCGAAACGTTGTCTGAGTTCGGAATCACCACCTTTTCAAGTGAGTGCATGATCCCTTTCATCTTACACATAGATATGAAGTATTTAATATAAATTACGTGCTATGTGTGCATATTGTCTGAATACTTGTTGTCTATGTCGGGTGAAATATTTTTATACACGTTTAAATGATTTAAATTGTATATGTATTTTATATCTACAAAATGTGTTGGGTAAAATATGGGTAGATGTAATAGTTGTTGTGTGACAAAATAAAATAATGAGAGGCCTCGATATAGATGTTATTGATGATCCAGTCATCTAGCGGAGTATAAATGACGACCACGGGCTATTCTAGACAGTCCAGTGGAATGTTAGCAGACTCGCAACCTGTAGGTGTTTATTCGAACTGTGTGCTCACCAGCAGTACTCTACCCCCACATGGTTGCATTATTTGACATGAATTGTTGAGGAACCCCAGAAGCATGTGTTGTCACCCCGATGGAATTCCTTAGACTAGGTCCCTTGTGTTAGATGTTTTATGGGATGTAAAGTGAGGATAACAGGAACGGGTAATCGTGTTTATTTGGTTTGATAAAGTTAATAAACTTATTTATTGTTGGTTGGAAACCCTATGTACTCACCAAGTTTTCCAACCTAACCCACTCGGTTTATTTATATCACAGGTGTTGATATGAAGTCACATTACACAGAGAGATTAAGTAGATATAAATCACTAGTGATAATGAATGTAAGTTCTGTTTATGCTTATGTTTATGTATTAACGATGACATCCCAAATGTTTTAAAATTAATAAAAATACTTTTCTTCATAAATGCTTTGATAATGTATTTATCATGTTTTACTGGGAATAAATTGCGCAATATTTTTTATTAAAAGAGGTACTCTAATTTTTATAAAGCATAAACAAAATCGGTCTTTTCTGGCCGTGAAAATGGGGATGTCACACTAGGGTTCTCAAATGCGGAATCATGTGTGTGCAATGCGTTGCTACCCTGCTGGCTCCTTCCCCTTATATGAAGAGGTACGTGAAACCAAAACTGAAAACCGTAAGCACAAAGCTTAGTAAGTTACCCCATCATACCACATACCATACAATCATACATAATGTCGGGCAATTTTAGGGTGCCGACCTACCCATGTCAAGCCATTTTGGGGTGCTGACCTACCCATGTTTGAACCTTATAATACTCAAGAGACCCTTAGAATCCATAAATTTTCCAATTTTATGAATTCCTTCCATTCACACTTTCTGAAGCATGAAGGACATGAGACAAAAACTTAGATCTAGTAACATTAAGCAATTAAGTTTGGATTTTAGACACTTATAAAGGTCCAGAATGAGCACAAGATGACGATGATGATGTTTCCTTGCTAGATCCATAACTAGAACAACATCTTCTTCTTTTTCTTCTTCTTCTTCAAACTACCAAAAGCTCCAGAAGGCCAGGAATCACTAAGAAAGATTAGGGTTTGAGTTTTCTGAGGTTTGAGGGTGATTAAGGTTGATAATGAACCCTAGATTCGAGATAATATGGTTTACATACGAACGAAACCCTAAAAGATCAGGGGCTTGGGATGCAATCTTCCTCACATTTTGACCACCAATGTGTCACATCATGAGAACAGTCCCGACACAGCTTCTTCACTTTTTCTTGTCACGTCGTGACGTCTCTATGGTCACATCGTGTATTGTTCGCGTTTCTCACTAGGCATCAATGAGATGATGTAATAGTTAGGGCCAACGATTGTAACTTATTTGATATAATAAAGGGAATTTTATAACATCCCAATGATGATGTACTTCTAGTTTTGACCCTGTATTTGAATAATATTGCATCTTGGCCCTTGGGAATGAAAATGAATCGCAAAATGGCCCATAGTGGTAATATGATAATTTTTGCCTAGTGTATCATATGTTGTGTTTAGTTGGCCAGAAATGATATATGACATTCAAAAAAGTGTGGGGATTTCCAACAAAAACAAACATGATAATAACTTTATCTTACTTGTGTGGTAAACATAGGAATCATAATAGCTGCAGTAATTGAGCTTAATGGAGTAGTTCTTTTGCTCACATTTAATTATATCTTTTCGTTTGTTTTCTTCTCTGTAGTTGTATCTGCCCTCGCTTGCTAGCTTCTTGCTACAAGTTTGGTGCTTTTTAATGTTATTTGCCGTTAAAAAAAATGGTTTATAGAACTTAAGAAAAAAGAAAGAGCGTATATGTATTTGGGTTTGCTTGGCAGACCATAAAACTCTTTGGCTTAGTTGCACATATTTGTTTATTTAAGAAATTTTGGTGATCAACCATTTTTTGTGCCAAAATCTTAAAGCTAAATTTAAATGTAATTTTCTAGGATTACATGCGAATATCTACAGGATTTGGTTAGGATTGATTCCCATCGGTTTGAGTGAAAGCAGTTAGAATAAAACCTTTTTTTTCTTTTTTTCATATTTTACTGAACTTGCTTTCGGTATTGAAATTTAAGGAAAATTAATACTTGATGAACAAATAAGTAAAACTCATGGCTATACATGAGCTACACTGTTTTTCCCGGGAGGGGTTCATAACATTATTTTTTCAACTTTTAAAATTTAGAAAAATATTGAGCTACAGTATTTTTCCAGGTAGGGGTTAACATTATTTTTTTCAACTTTTAAAATTTAGAAAAATATTTTCCTCGCATCCAGGATAGTAAACCTCTAAACCTTAGATAAACAACAAATTTAAGAAATAATTGATGAAAACAATTTTTTTACTATATGAAAATTGATTTTTATAAGTTTGAAAATCGGTTTCATCCAAACTGCTTCCACTAGCAAAATACTCAAACCGATACAAAAGGAAAGTTCGATTTCAAACCGGATCAGTTTCAACCAAACAGGTTTATAAATCGGATAAATTTTTGTTTGCAACCTGGTTTTGGGTCATGACCAAATGATAAAAAAACATTTATTTAGAGTTAAAGAGACATGAAATTTTAAATTACTTATATACATTCCTCCAATTGAACCGAGCCACAAGGCATAGCCTAGTTAGGGTTTGGCCAATTATTATTACTATTATTTTTTGAATGGCAGATAGGCCAATTATCAACCATTTAACAAGGTACCATTTATTACATAAATAATGAGATGAAATTATGTTCTGTCACACAATTGAATCCTCGAATACTGAAAACCCATGAATAATCCTATTTCATGAATAGCAATACAAGCATAAATTAGAGATATTATACAAGCCAAAAAAACCAAATATAAGAACAATATTACAACCTATATAGCTCAATGTACAACTAACCATAGCATAAACTGAGTAGTAGTACCAAACAAATCAAACCTCATATTAAACATTCATTCTAAATAAACACAAAAACAAATCAAACCTCACTTTAATTAACATTAACCACCAAAACCCATTAAAATTCAAATCGTTTTAATCAAAACCAACTTTCAAGAACAGTAGAATGAAACTGCATCAAGACAAGCACCAACAATATCAAAGCAGCCACTCCCCACGGCGAACCTCCCTCCTCCGGCGACTGGTACGCTAGCCAGCGGCGACGCTCCCACGGTGACAACCCAAACCCAAAAAACTTTTCTGGGTGCTCAACATTTGACAACCATTTGACAGCAAAAAGCAGAATTAATGGAGTGATTAAAAGAATCCAATTGAAGCTCTCTTCAGTAGCTTCAATGGCTTCTTCGTAAGAAGAGTACCATTGAAATCCAAGAAAGAAGAAGATGAGCGACAAGATCAAAAGAACCGGATATGGAAGTGGGGTTAGCGAGAACGCTTCGAAAATTGAAGAATTTGTGGTTCTTGTGGGTGACATTTCACCTTCAGTGTGTGAATGGTAATGATGAAGAATGGTTTAAAGGAGAGATTTGATGAAAATATGGAAAGGATTCTCCAATCCGTTACGGTTTGTATTACTGATTTTGAGGGATTCCATTGTGATTGGTACAAGTGTTGGAAGCTTTTTGGAAAGGTAAATGTACAACTGCTGATGCGTTGGGTACAAGTGATGCTGCGTGGGGCAAGTAATGATGCATAAGGTATAACTAAGTAAAGAAGGTTTTATGTGGGAAAAGACCAAGATACCCCTCACCCACTTTGGAAAAGTCTCGATGGGAACCATAAATCATACTTGCAATCATTTTCATTTTGAGAAAAGAAAATTTATCATGGGTTGTGAAGAAACTTGTAGACTTATTTTAGTGGTTGTAAATATGCTTATCAAAAGTGATTTGAAGTTTTAGATCGTCGTATTTGATATTTTTTATATTATATTTTATATTATAAATGACAATCCTGTTTTTTTTCATAAATGTATATTCAAATTATTAAAAAAATAAGAAATGTTAATTTATTTGACTGTTCAATAGATACACATAACTAATGAATCCGGATCAAATAAAAAAATCGTAAAAACAATTTCATCCTTTGATCTCATCAAATCAAAGGTTATATAGATTCGATGATATTTTTAGTATATATATCAAAATTAAATGATCTAACATATCATTAATACCTTAATTAGAAGAAAGTTTGTGAACGAAAATCAAGGTTACCAAGATTATGTGAGAAGTTTAGTAGGCAAGAAAGTAATTTTGGATGAAAATTATACCAAGAAGGAAATAGATTTGTTCTATCTGTTAAAAAAATATAATATTTGACTTGACATGTGTTTGTGTTTGAGTGTTTCTTATGACACTTAAAAAGAAATTTTGTTCTATCTGTACAAAAAATATAATATTTGATTTGGCATACATTTATAAAAATAAAATAAAAATGAATGGCGTAATCGAGCCCCTCGAAATTTTGACACGAAACAAAAGTGCTTTCAAGTTGTGTAGCATCCCTTTCAAATCGTCTATAATGTGATTACAGATAATATATGCATTACTTTTTGTGTCAACAATGCACCTTCTTTGACATGATCTCTATGGGACGTTTGTCGAAAGCTTTAAAGGAAACTTTATATTTGAGAACGATCTCACTGAAATTCAAAACTTTAATAAAAACATTTGACAGAGAATCGTAAATCTAAAATGTTCTATTGGAGTATTAAAGAACGAGGTAGTTTCTGGAATCACAAATTGGTCTTGGATTTTTGATTGGATAATATAATCACTTTACAAATTTGATATTTAACTCATATGCCTATTTGTCACGAAGATCTTGCACCTCCCAACTTGTATAAATTCATAGTTTGAACTCCATTGGTGATCTTTAAAATCTCGTTACGCTAAAACAAGTTGATGATACTAAAATCATCAATACGTTCATTAGTAATCATAAAAAAGATTAATAGATAAAAAAAAACAGTGGATTGTAATCGAATTTATAAATTTAAAATCATTTTTGGAACAGTTCAGGTTTAATGAGATTGACCTACAAACATTTTGTTCATTAGCAAAAAAAAATGATATTTAATTTGTTAAAATACGATTGCAGAAAAACTATATATCTACAAAACTAATATAATCTTTAAATTAAGCAATTCAAAATGTTGTATATCTTAAAATTACCCTTTAGACAACTTTAAATCTATGGGGCCAGATCTTTTTTAGCTAAACTTTTTGTTTTATTTATTAAATCTATAAAGATAAAACATATGTTAAAAGTTACATAAACATGTCCGATTCGTTTCCTTCTAGCTAAAGTTTTTGTTTTATATATTCAAATCATGAAAGATAGAACAAACCCAAAACGAATCATGCACATATAAATGATCCAAAATTGTCACCTTTAATAATCTCTAGCTTACAGCCTTATTCCACTAGACTGCAACATTTTTTGGAGAATGCCTTTAATTGTATGAATAAGAAAAAGACAGTGAAAATCAAAGAGATAATTAGTTAATATTTAATATATCTTAAACATGAAAGAATATATTAAAAACATAGAAATTAGTCATAAAGAAAAGCTTTACCCATGTTTAACATTAATTTTATGTACGCAATTCGATTGCTGCGCCAACAAAAGTCGAATGACACGGCTATCAAAGGGGAAAAAAAGAGAGAATATATTCGTTCTTTTCCTGGACACGTTCCCCTAATTAAAGGTGATATAATTGTTTTATTTAAACTGGAATTTTAAGACCTTATTAACTTAACCCCAGACTCGACTTTATAGCTCAACAAATTTGATAGGATAGCTTCCCTTCCCTTTTATTAAAATGAAAAGTTTAGCAAGCGAAAAAAAAACCTTCCTTTCAAGTCCAAACTATTTACACATTTACCCTCGTTAGCTTTTGTTTTTTAATTTCTCCAACTAGGTTATTTTCTCATATATTCATCAAATTATATATATATCCACACAACGTCACCACTTTATCCAGAAAGAAAAAAGAAAAAACAGGTGCACAACACAACCAACAGGAAAATTACATTCTCTTGTGTGTCTGTCTGTCTATATGTTTTTCTCCAACGTAAGTGAAAAGACAAAAACAACCCTATACTATATGAGTAGAGCTAAAATCTGATATGCATGATATGTGTTGAAAGAAGCATGGGCGTGTTGGGAATTTAAAAATAAACAGCAACATTGTTTCTAACACCAAAAAAAAAAAACAAAGAGAGCACGTCTTACATTACAACTTCACTCATCATTCATCTGCAGAAGCTGAAGTGTGGGCAGGGTATTTCTTCAAGATATCTGTCCATGTGGCACGACCCTCAGAGACCTCCTTGACAACAGCCGCCACCTCATCAATGCTGACACGGATTTGATCCTTGCTGTCCCTTTCACGGATTGTGACTGATGACGTGGAATCCACAGTCACAGCAAATGGCACACCCAGCTCATCTGTTCTCGCATATCTTTTGCCTATTGAAGTACCTATACATAGACACAATATAAGCACATGTTAAAATGCAAATTCCAATGAGAAGTGATGAAACAGACAATGGCAAACCTGTAATATCTTTCTTGTTTGAAATCCCGGCTGCAGTCAGAGATCTGGAGATGTTTTTAGCAACTTGTTCGTATTGCTGATTCTGAACCAATGGGAAAACAGTGCATTTGATGGGGGCCACAAGAGGAGGGAAACGGAAGACATTCAACTGTTCATCTCCAGCTTTGCTTGGTCTCATGTAGAAGGAATGTTCATAGAGACAGTAGATGATGCGACCGATGCCAAAAGAAGGTTCGATCACAGAAGGTGTAAAAACTCTCTGGTGTTCTTTCTTTTTTTCTTTTGATATTGTCACCATTTTTTTCGTTATTGTAACAGTTTTCTCAAGAGTGCAAACTTCAAACTCCACCTCCCCTTTTGTTTCCAAAACATATTTCATATCCATCGCCTCTTTCTCACTCATCGCCTACATAAATCAAGAAATCAGAAATGGTGTGTATAAGTGGCTGTTTGATGGTTAATTAAGAGAAGAATTTGTTTATACCTCCAATGCTTCAACTACCATCTTTTGATTACCCTTGAATGCAAGCCCAAGCTCCTTCTTAATGGGAGTAATAACAAGTTTCTAGAAGAAATACATCAATTTGTTAGCAGCTTTCTCAATTAAAAATATAAAAAAAGAAAATTTACCTCAACTTCTTTAGGTTCTGCAAATTTCTCTTGAGCCACAAGTGCAACACCACTTTTATCCTATGAAATTAAAAAAAAAAATGGTAAAACATCATCTCTTCAATAAATAAGGAATTGAAGAAACTTTGTATGTTGAAAAGACGTAAATGCCCTTCTATAATTAAAGGTTACCGTGTGTGCACGTAGGTCATATGCGGATCTATCAGCAATGCCAACGCATTCGATCCAACCATAAGAGGATTCGATTTCAGCATCCCAGCAATCTGCAGCGTAGTGGGCCATCTCATTTGGAAGATGCTGCCTGAAACGCAAACGTTCTTCATCGATCCCCAAACGTGTCAAAAACAGATATACTCTTCCGATGAAGTATGCAAGTGTTTGGTTGTTCACAATCCCCTGAAGAAATATGTGTTTAAAAGCTATTAGGGTTGCATATTGCTACTATGAATGAATAGATATGAATACATTCCTATTTCCTATAGTTTGCTCTAAAATTTTGAATAACAACGAACCTTAGAAACGGCTTCACCAAGACAAAGTCTTTTTGCAGATTGGCCTGACATCTGTAAATCCCTTGGGAACATGAGAAACTCAAGCTTTTCAACTTCAGAATATTTCGGGTGTGATTTGTCATCAGGATCCACAAAGTGTTCGATTTCTGCAAGTGTGAATTCACGAACTCTTAGAAGACCTTGTCGAGGAGATATCTGGAAAAAGATGACAACAAAATGTCAATTTCCAGAGAACATCGTTTTTTAAGTGAATATAAATAAATTCATTACTTGAATAATCATTTAATGTCTTTAAAAAAATACATAGAGCATGAATGAAATGCACGTGTTGCAATCTTAAATTTTCAAGAAAGAAAATCGACCTCATTTCTGAAAGCTTGACCAATTTGAGCAGCAGCAAAGGGTAGCTTGTTTCCATTGTAATAGTACAAGTCTTTGAAGTTAACAAATATGCCTTGTGCTGTTTCAGGACGCATGTACCTGAACCATATCAAATGAAAACAGTTGCAAATATGAAGAATGTAAAGGCAGAATCATTGCAATTATGAAGTAAAATAATCTGACAATAGTAGACGATTAATATGAGATATAATACTGACCCAGGGCTTACGCCAGAAGGACCAATTGAGGTCTGAAACATGAGATTGAAAGGGTAAGGATCCGAAAGAGGATTCTTAGTGTCAGGTGCAACAATGCCATATTCCTTAATCTTTGCACCAAGTTCCTCAGCTGAAAGATCATCAAGAACAGCAAGAACGTGTTTGAATTCAG